CTAGCATTATCTCCAAATTCCAATGTCTACTATTTTTAAAAAATTTGAGAAACTCAGAAAAACAGTAAAAAAAAACTATTTTTTTTTCAAATAGTCTCCAATTTATAAAAAATTTTTTTTTTACTCATCACGTTCGGGCGATTGCGACATCATTGTAGATTAATAATCTTTTTATTTTTTGCATTTCCGATGGCTAGGAGGGCTAAAATCATGTCAAGACTGAGGTGCCAATTTTTTGAGACCCCCCACTTCATAAACTGCCAATTTCTTCAATTTTCAACTTTTTTTTTCTAATTCTTGTTTTGTATTTTAATAATATTAATAAGCAAGTGGTACAAAAATAGATAGTAAAAACATTCATTGCTTACTTTTACGACACTTTAAAAATGACCTAAAATTCATCGCTCTATACCAGAATACTCCCTTAAGTAGCTGTAGAAGATAAAATTCTTCGATCACCTTCGATCAGTATCAAATCAAGTCCATATTTTGCCTACTAGATTGTGTTACAAATGAAATACTCGGGTGCCTTAAAGGTACCTTGAATAATAAACGAAGCAAGAAGTTTCTTTAGGAATCCTTGCAAGCTATCTTTGCAATAAACGAAGTCTCTAAGTAGCTAGAGTAGAAGATAAAATCCTTTGATCACCTTCGACCGGTATCAATTTAAGTCCATATTTTGCCTACTAGATTCTCTTCCAAATGAAATACTCGAGTGCCTTAAATAATAAACGAAGCGAGAAGTTTCTTTAAGAATCCTAGTAAGCTATCTTTGCAATAAACAAAGTCTCTAAGTAGCTAGAGTAGAAGATAAAATCCTTCGATCACCTTCAACCAGTATCAATTCAAGTCCATATTTTGCCTACTAGATTCTCTTTCATATGAAATACTCGAGTGCCTTAAATAACAAACAAGGCAAGAAGTTTCTTTAAGAATCCTAGTAAGCTATCTTTGCAATAAACAAAGTCTCTAAGTAGCTAGAGTAAAAGATAAAATCCTTCGATCACCTTCGACTGGTATCAATTCTAGTCCATATTTTGCCTACTAGAATCTCTTCCAAATGAAATACTTGGGTGCCTTAAATAACAAACAAAGCAAGAAGTTTCTTTAGGAATCCTTGCAGGCTATTACCATAACCTTAAAATGGTCCTGTCAAAAACTAAATATTAAGAAAAAAAATAGCAGATATTAAAAAATATTGGTGGTTAATTTTAGTACGTACAAGAAAACCTGATGTGTACATTTATTTGTAAAAATTGATAACTTTTCATGTGACAAAAAAAAGTTGCTCAGTGTTATTTTTCATATAAGACAACCTAACCTCAAAAACAGATTTGATTGAAACACTCGAAAATATTGATTTTAACAAAGTAATTAAGCAAAACTGAGACACTAGAGGTTAAATTATCAATAAAATTAATTTCCATTATCAAATGTCAATGTTAATAATTTTGGTTACCTTTATTTTGAGACGGTGTTCGTCTTTGCATCTCTTGTATTTATATGTCAAAATTCCAATAAGAACTGTACTTGAAAAAGTTTGACAAAAGACACCAGAATGTCCTTTGTCTTTTACTCACAAGCCTTTAAAGCGATTCCTTAAAACCCATCGTGTATTTAATTACAACCAGTATAAATATTATTATTATTACTTCTCAATGATCTCTTCTCTACGCCGACACGAAAGATTTCGCACGCGCATACTGCGTTCGAATTCGAACTAAATAATAGAAATATTTTCGAATTTTCCCAAAGGCCGACCTTGAGCTAAAATACTAACGAGTACATGTATTCGCGAGTTTGCATGTGTATAATGTAAATATTATATATATGTATAAATGTAATAATGTAAAGACGACGAAAATGTTATACTAATGACAAAATCGTCGTCTTTTAGTGTATGTATGTAATCACTACGCGGCGATAACAACGATTGCGGGCGGGCGTTGTTGCTTCGAGCTTGCATCCGAGGGATAGACCGAGCGCCGGTAACCCAAAAAAAAAAAAATTAAATTGTATAATGCTAGACCAATTTTTAATCTATCAAGACTATCTAGAACGTTTTTCAGACTATCCGAAATATTTTCAGTTCATCTAGAACAACCTAGAACAATTTTAGTATGTCTAGAATTATCAAGAACACTATGTAGAATATTCAAGATTATCTAAAATATTTTAAGATTATCTAAAACATTTCAAGACTGTCCTGAAATATTTTCTGTTCATCTAGAACATTTTTAGTATATCTAGAATGACCAAGAACACTATCTAGAATATTCAAGATTATCTAAAATATTTTAAGATTATCTAGAACATTTCAAGACTGTCCGAAATATTTTCTGTTTATCTAGATCATTTTTAGTATATCTAGAATGATCAAGAACGCTATCAAGAATATTTAAGATTATCTAAAATATTGTAAGATTATCTAGAACATTTTTAAAACTACCCAAATTATTTTCAGTTCATCTACAACAATCTAGAACATTTTTAGTATATCTAAAATTATCAAAAACACTATCTAGAATATTAAGATTACCTAAAATATTTTAAGATTATCTAGAACATTTCAAGACTATTCGAAATATTTTCAATTCATCTAGAACAATCTAGAACATTCTCAGTATATCTAGAATTCTTAACACTATCTAGAATATTCAATATTACCTAAAATATTTTAAGATTATCTAGAACATTTCCAAACTGTTCGAAATATTTTCAGTTCATCTAGAGCAATCTAGAACATTTTAAAACTATCTAGAACATTTTAAGACTATGTAGAACAAAATCAGTGTACCTGGAATATTTTCAGACAAATCAGAACATTTTAAGACTATCTAGAACATTTCCGACTATCCGAAATATTTCAGTTCATCTAGAACAACCTAAAACATTTTTAGAATATCTAGAATTCTTCTAGAATGTACAAGATTATCTAAAAGATTTGGCTATCTAGAACATATCAGTTTATCAAGAACATTTTAGAGACTATCTAGAATATTAAAAAATATGTAGAACATTTTAAAACTATACAAAAAATATTTTCAGTTTATCTAGGGCAATCTAGAACATTTTCAGAATACCAGAATTCTTCTAGATTATAAGAGATAATGTAAAAGAATTTAAGACTTTCTAGAACATTTTCAGACTAACCAAAATATTTCAGTTCATCTAGAACAACCTAGAGCATTGTCAGAATATCTAGAACTCTTCTAGATTATAAAAGATAATCTAAAAAAAATTTAAGGCTATCTAGAACATATTCATTTCACCTAGAACATTTTAGAGACTATCTAAAATATTTAAAAAATATCTAGAACATTTTCAGAAAATCTAAAACTCTTCTAGATTATACAAGATAATCTAAAAGAATTTAAGATTATCTAGAACTATTCAGTTTACCTAGAACATTTTAGAGACTATCTAGAATATTTAAAAAATATCTAGAACATTTTCAGACCATCTAAAATATTTCAGTTCATCTAGAGCAATCTAGAACATTTTCAGAATATCTAGAACTCTTTTAGATTATAAAAGATAAACTAAAATAATTTAAGATTACCCAGAAACATATACTGTGCACCTAGAACATTTTAGAGACTATCTAGAATATTTAAAAAATATCTAGAACATTTTTAGACTATCCGAAATATTTCAGTTCATCTAGAACAACCTAGAACATTTTCAGAATACCTAGAACTCTTTTAGATTATAAGAGATAATCTAAAATAATTTATGACTATCTAGAACATTCAGTTCATCCAGAACATTTTCAGACTATCTAGAATATTTTCAGTTCATCTAGAACCATCTTGAGCATTTTCAGAATATCTAGAAATCTTCTAGATTATAAAAGATAATCTAAAAGAATGTAAGACTCTCTAGAACATATTCAGTCACCTAGAACATTTTAGAGACTATCTAGAATATTTTAATATCCAGAAGATTTACCACTATTTAGAATATTTTACACTATCTAGAACACTGCAGACTTAAACCA